ATATGCATAATAGGCATTTCATGCTGCCTCAATGCCAACTGATCTGGAAATAATCCAAATGGATATGAGAAATAACTGATCTTGCCAGCAAGGAAATCAATATGATTAGCCCAAGACAGTTCAAGATCCATTTTCCAACCACAAACGAAATCTTTTCAACACTGGCTATCTCAGTATCCCAATACCTCGCCTTGATCTGGTCAAAGCATACGTGATAATTAACAATGTTATTCAGATCTACAGTAAGTGATTTCTGGATTTCATAATCAGTGCTACACCTCGCCACGGTCGTTGTGTCATCCGCAAACATTATCATAATGTTGTTCGCTACACGTGGTAAGTCATTCACGTACAGCAGATACAATAGAAGACCCAATATAGTACCCTGAAGTAGTCTCAGCTTGACTTGCCTCCAAGCTGATCTTATTTCTGTTTCCTGTTCATTGTGGGCAACTACACATTGTAACCTCCCTGATAGATAGGATTTCATCCATGACAAGCTAACACCTCTAAAACCAAGTCTCTCCAACTTGGTCAAAAGGATTGAATGTTGTACAGGGTGTCCAAATTTCGATGGGTTTGCAGGGTATCTCAGTTATTATGAAAGATAGAAAGTTGCGGCTTTCGCGAACCTGAGCTANGATTGCCACGATTACAGTACTTCTTCTTTGTTTCATTTATGAAAGTAATAATAGTAAACCTGATTGTAAGCAAGCTGTCTTTACACTTGCAAAACGTCGCATTTCATTCTTGTTGCTTGATTACCATATTACTTTATGTATGGTGGATGAAGGAGTATTCATCCTCAGATAATTCTAAAATAATAATAATAATACTTTATTCCTCCATTTTACCAAAAAAGTGTAAAGTGCGTCAATTTAACAATAATTACATTGTGATATAATACAAATTGAATTCAAACATTAAATTAGAAAAACATGTCAATGGTATATATATATCGGATTTTCAGTGACAATAGATCTCACTCAGTCTTCTCCGGAATCTTGGAACTGAAATATGATTGTAGATCTTGATACTCTGGTATAGAGCCGTCTTCTGATCTTAGTAAAGTGCGTTTTTGGTGGCACCAAATAGCAGTTCATTTTCTCGCGTGTGTCTCGAGGATGTGATATTTCATATTTTTTGAAAAATTCTAAGTAATTGTTCCTAACCAATACGGCACATTCCAGAATATAAATTCGATACAAGGTACTAACTTCTACAGCAATCAGTATTTTTTAGACCAAAGATAGCTCTTACACACCTCTTCTGTAGTATGAAGATACCAACACCACGGCCCCAAAAGACACCATATCTTAGCAAGGAACATATGCATAATAGGCATTTCATACTGCCTCAATGCCAGCTGATCTGGAAATAATCCGAATGGCATATGAGAAATGACTGATCTTGCCAGCAAGAAACGAAATCTTTTCAACACTGGCTATCTTAGTATCCCAATACCTCGCCTTGATCTGGTCAGAGCATACGTGATAATTAACAATGTTCGTTTTTTTGTACTTAACTTTATGTTGTGCGGTTCAAATCAATCCGCAAGTTTATTCAGATCTACAGTAAGTGATTTCTGGATTTCATAATCAGTGCTACACCTCGCCACGGTCGTTGTGTCATCCGCAAACACTATCGTAATATTGTTCGCTACACGTGGTAAGTCATTCACATACAGGAGACACAATAGAGAGATCTTATTTCTGTTTCCTGTTCATTGTGGGCAACTACACATTGTAACCTCCCTGATAGATAGAATTTCATCCATGACAAGCTAACACCTCTAAAACCAAGTCTCTCCAACTTGGTCAAAAGGATTGAATGTTGTACACTATCAAAGGCTTTTGTAAGATCCATGAACAATGCTGTTGTGGCCTGTTTTCCATTTAATTCCAAGATAATATTTTCCAACAGTTCCCATTTTGATTCTCATGCAAAATGTTATATTTGTTTAAATAATTTATAATTTTGTTGTGTACAAGCTTCTCATAAATTTTTGCAAGATTGGATATGAGTTCTATTGGACGATAGTTATCATAGCAGGACTTGTCCCCTTTTTTATAGATTGGAATTATTAAAGACTATTAAAGAAAGGATTATTATTATTAAAGAGAGTAAGGAACACGAAACGTTAGCTAATTTGCTAAAGATTACGAAAGTGTAGATACCTAACGGTTCACGAGTAGTGGCAGAAAGGTTCTAATCGACAATGAGACATTCAAAAAATCGCTTCTAAGATACCTATAATGGATGCAAGATTGCCAGAGGGATGACAATGCTAGTAAGCGAAGAAATCAGTAACTGTAGGAAAACACTGCACACAAGTACCCACAAAGAATATGTTATTTAATTTGCAAAACAAGATTACGTTTTCTAAAACCATCCATTACTTTCTGGTTTCATACGGTCTTAATAGAAGTAAATCCCTTTTGTAACATTAATTATCGTGCCTCAAAAAAACATTTAACAAGTCAGAGCACGTATAACACCAATTAAAATATGTTCTTTAATTATTGTTCAACATTTGCAATAAAAATTATCTACAATTAGAACGACAACTATAATATAAAATGTTTGTGTACTATTTTTATTAGGAAAAAAGTTTACCGATGATTAAAAGTTTATTAGGTTGGACGTTGATAAAGTTTTTGAAGAGTATTGGAGCAATTGCATTACCCACTGCGAGAGGAAGGTGGTAAAGAACTGCCCCGGGACCTGTAATTACCTCTTACGTTGTCGTCGTTGGTCCAAAGCTTTTCAAGTCGAGCTTTTACACCGAAAATACGAGACCTGTCAGGACAAATATTTTATCCCCTTCTGTTAGACGTCCCTGGGGCGGACTTTAATAGTTTGCTTCTCCTTTTTACATCTGCTCTCGATTACTCACTTGGCGTTTACACGCTATAAAAAAAAGCTTATGAATTTGAACTTTAGAAAAGTTAATAAATTAAAATTGACACATTGTCATATTTAATGTTATTTCTATTCATGAGAAGTATAATAATTATCTGATTCACTTTACTTCAGATTTGTTTGTCCAATTTTTTTATCGTGAAATAGTTGTGTACCGAGAGCAAACTTTGTTATCAAGATTGTTTGATTAACCAAATGAAAGTCAAGCAAATATAAACGTTAAGATTGATCTTAGCGAAGACGAAAAGAAAGTCATTACTATAGAGCTTATATTTACATTATAAATACCAAGAAGGAACACAAGAAATGTTGTAACGAAGCACACCGAAATTCAAATTATTGTAAGGGCTGACCATTAATACCAACACTTTTTAACAAACAACTGCTTCAAAAGCCTTTGGATAGATTCAGAAGAAGTCTAAATTAAATGCATAATTTATAAGGTATAATTTTATCAAAGTAGAATTTTTTTTGTAACATGTACATAATCTACCACCATATAAAATGTGAGCTGGAAGAAGTAGAAAGTTGACTAGGTTAGGATGTAATACAAGATAATACAACTTAACCTTCGTTTCGATATACCAATTGACGAACCTCCACCTGAAACATTCCAAGGCCAAGGAAACGCAAGCATTCAAAAATTTTCATGATGAAGGCCACGGTAGTGGCCTTGGCCTTGTGAGGTCCCTCGTATTTTCATATAAGGTATATTTTTTCAACATCGTTTTATCTAAAAATCATTTTTATTGAATTATCAATTTTAGAGTTGAAAATATTCTCTCTGGAGTAGCTGTGCTTACTGGTAAGGTGCACAACATTTTCAACAATGTATAAATATGAGGAAGGATAATCGAATCACAAATTGATAATGCATTTAAAGGAGAATTGGGAAATTCTTTTGGTAAACTATTGTAAAATCTTCTGTACCAAAGTTTAAATTCACCAGCTACAACAAGTATTGAGACATCATCTAAATGATATCTATAAAATTCTACTCGTTCAAATTGTCTCCTAAATTTTCAATTTTTTCTAGTGATACTAAACAACCAAAAGCTACTAAGATATCTTTGTGTGCAATAAATCTCTCGTCTAATTGCCTTATGACGTTGTCTAAGAATGGAATGAAAACTGATATTTTGTAATATTCTTCTGTAGTTTCTGTTTCAACATTAGCTCTATTCCTTTATCTAAGTACAAGTTTCGTCACAGTTTTTGTTTGTACCATCCGCTTCTGTATTTTCTTTTACAATCGAACCTGTTGCATCAACACTTAGGCTACTCCTTTTTGGCTTGTCTTTGTAGTGCTTTTTGTAAAGGAAGATTTGTTCTGGAGTCTCCCGAATAGTACCTGTAAATTCAGGACGATATTTCCATTTATGCACTGATTGAAAAAGGTCGATGCCTCTACAAAGTCCTAATTCCTGGTCAGTTTCTGTTTGCTTACGCAAAACATTTTCGTTGTACAAATGCGCGGAAACTTTATCTTCAAAATCCATAAGTTCTTTAGCTTTCTGTCTACGCCAAGCATAGGTTGACTGAGCAGCAACTTCTTTTGCTACTCGTTGCCTGAGTACACCTCGTAATTGATGTTTTTTTATCACTTGTTGAAATTTGCAACGTGATATGGTCATCTGTTGGTTTATCTGGCGCGTACAAATTAATTCCTACACCACATTCGATACATAAACCTTTAATCCATTAACATGGTTCTTCTGGATTTAAGTTAACTTTTGGATTTTTGAAAGCATAGCAATATGGCAGCCGATGTTCTTGCCACAATTGTTTCTGCATTACATCGGTCCGGCCTTGTCTTAATACATTATACGCCCTACCCTTATAAATTCTACTAACAGGTCGAATACTGTTCCAATCATCGCCTAAAATAGTAATTGTCGTTCTAAGAGCAGTCTTAACGCATGTGACGAATGTGACAAAAAGTGAAAAGCAAAGCGAAAATACCTGGTAGTATGTTGTCTTGTGTACAACACGTGTTTGTGTAGATAAGCCTAATAGATATAAATCATAAAAACATTAAACGGTGCATACCAGGCCACACCGGCTAGAGTTGAGAACGGTTACGACCCAAACGTCAATTTAGTCTTATGTACTTGAAAAGTATGGGAACCACCGAAACCGAGACCCGGGGCTTCACCTAATATTAAAAAAAAAAAGCTGTATTTTGGAACCTGTTGGGACATAAACGAAATCGAAGGGGGTACAAACGATTCTCTATTGAATTCCATCGACCGTTTTGCGATATCTGTATTAATAACGGAGATACACACTTTCAGCGATAATCTGAAGAATCAAAAAATCGCTGTATTTTGGAATCGGTTGAGGTACAAACGAAAAAAAAAGTGGTACAAACGGGTACAAACGGGTACAAACGATTCTCTATCGAATTCCATCAACCGTTTTGCGATATCTCTATTAATAACGAAGATACATACTTTCAGCGGTATTCTGAAAAATCAAAAAATCGCTGTATTTTGGAACCGGTTGAGATACAAACGAAATCGAAAGTGGTACAAGCGGGTACAAACGGGTACAAACGATTCTCTACCGAATGGTATTAATAAAATTAGAATATCAAAAAGTGGGGTTGCAACAATTTTTCAAAATTTTTTAATCTCTTTAGGTCCTGAAGTACAAACGAAATTAAAGGTGGTAAAAATGAGTACAAACGATTCTCTATCGAATGGTACTAATAAAAGCAAAATATTGTAAACTCGGGTTCCAGGTTCACAGAGCTGAATATATGGCAAGAAAATTAATCGAAGTATACGACCGGTAGGGCTTGGTTACGAATGTAGCAAAAACACAATATCTATGCGTGGGTGGAGAAGCAAAAGACTGCTGTTAAATAATAACACTTTACTTAAAAGATGCGTTGGAACTAAGATGAACCACAGTGGAAGATGGGAAGCAGAAATACGAAGCTGACTATAACGAGGCAAAAACATAACAAAAGCCATAACTCCCTGCTTTGCTCAAAAAAGAAGTCAAAAAAAAAAAGAAAACAACAACTATATTCCACTATCTTCATCCCCGTGGTGCTGTACGGATGCGAAACCTGGCAATTAAATAAACAAATAGAGAACCGGCTGCTGGCAGTTGAAATGGATTTCTGGAAAAGAGTAGCTGGCAAAAGTAAACTAGATCGAGTGCGAAATACCGACATACGAGAGATGATGGGGGAGCAAACAGCGATAGGCGCCGAAGTTCAAAAAAGACAGCTTCAATGGTACGGTCACGTTCAAAGAATGGTTCCAGGAAGAATCCCGAAGAAAGCGATGCAATGGAGTCCAACAGAAAGAAGAAGCAGGGGACGCCCAAAAACGACATGGGCATCGGGGATAAAGATGGCGATGTTTAAAAGAAGCCTGGCACCAGGGGACTTAAATCGTGACTATTTGGATTTCTCAATTTCCATAAATAGGACAAAGCTTCAGTTTTTTGTTTGTTTCACATTCGTGATTTAGTTTTATTACTTTTGATTTTTAATGTAGTTGAAAAGTTTGTATTATAAAAAATAAAAATATTATGTCTGCGGCGGCGCCATGGTTCGGTCGAAACAGTACTTTTCAACTGCGCAGACGTGTGACCGTTACTCAAAAGTGTGGTTGGAACGAACCTATGGGCGTAGCGATATCTTTGGAAAGGGTAATGAGTTAACGATGGTGGACGAACTACAGTTTGAAAAATAACTGACGCTTTTAAAATTTAAATCGAAAATAGAAGAAAAAGTAAAATAAACATTCTATTTCAAACTTTTATACACTTAAAAAAAAGTCTACGATGCTTAATTTCATTGAACTTTGTGTAACTGCTGTATAAATTTAGAAGTTTAATTTTATCGAAAAAAGAACTTATCTGGTTTCTAGTAAATAAAATTTTTTTTTTAAAAAGATAGAATAATACGTAGAATATTTATCATAATTTTCTTCAATAAATTTAAATATGTTGTGGGGGTTTAAATAACAACCGTAAAGAAACTTGTATGTACTTTATTATTGTAAATCAATGCAAAAATCATTACAACTTCATGTTTAAAAATGATTCATTGAAAGAATGTAAATCTTTAGAACTATTACCAATAACTTGATCTTTTTTTAAAGCAGCCATTTCTTTGCGCAGTTTTGGGGAAACGGATCTAAAAATAACACAATTACAAAATAAAAAAAATTTATATTTAAAACCTTGTACTTACTTGCAAAAATTGATTGGCATTGGATATGGTTTACTATAACTTTTAGGTCGCGCCCATTGCACATCAATAACCTTTTCTCCAAATTTCCTACCTTAAAGTTGGTGTAAATTACAAGAATAAATTTGAATTAATTAAAATTACTTACCTTGTAAAGTTATTAAAGCATTTTCAGCAAATTCTTTTGTTACAAAGTGTACAAATGCATAATCATACTTGGTATAAACTTTTACAAGATGTGTGCTTGGAACATACTGTCGAATAAGATTTAAGAGTTCATGACGCGATAAATTCATATCGATATTTCTGATAAATAATTTCTTCACCTGAAACAATAAAAAAATTAGTACCGATTAAAAATCAAATTAAACCAATTTTTTTTGTACCTGTGGCATAATTGTTGGATGAATATCTGGTTCTGGATCCGCCCATTCTACCACTAAATTAGACCCTAAATTATTATCCATTCTTGAACGCAATATCTTTCTGCTTTTCGAAGCGTTTTCGTGAGAGTCAAATTTGACGAATGCATATCCGCGATTTAAATTTGGTTGGTTTCTCGACGGGTATAACATTATATCAAAAATACCTTCTAATCGCATGTTTAAATCATTTAATAGATCTTCTTTAGTGATATGATCGGGAATATGACCAATAAATAATGTTCTATTATCAACAGATTTACTGACCACGATTGAACCATATTCTGGAAATATTTTAGATCCGTTCAATAATCTTACCGCATCATAGGCGTCGCTTCGGTAATAATAAGAAATGAATCCATATCCTCTGATATTCCCATTAAAATCCAACATCAATCGCATTTTATAAATTGGTCCAATAGACTCAAAAAGAGGTAAAATTTCGTCTTCAAGAATATGCGGCGGCAATTTGGCGACGAAAATCTCGGAGCCACTTTCGGGAAGAGTTTGCAACAATGGGTGTGCTTGTAGAATTCGTTGACCATTCTTTTGTATAATTTTACATCCCGTTAAATTACTAAGACGCTTCAAACGTTCTTGGCGATAAGTTGTGGCTGCAACGGATAATCTTGCAAACAAATTACGTTGAACTTCCATGACGACCACTAATATAATGATGAAGATATAAACAAGTTACCTGTTTATATACAAGTTGTAGACCGTGGGAATAAAACGGACGTGGGCGCCAGTTAACACAGCGCTTTAGGACTAGTTTTTTACGATTTATTTCATTTGCACGATTTTTTTATCAGGGTTAACAAGATTGAATCAAAAAAATTAATAGTATTATTGTAATATTAAATTTTAATTAGAAATATGTATTTAATTACACGTTACGTATTTTCTTTTTTAGTTATAATCGATTCTTAGCTCTGTATTAGTTCAAAGACGCGTCGCGACATTCGGCGCGGTCAACACATGTGTATCGTTTTTGGAACCTGAGAATTGTAAAAAATGTTGTGAAAGGTTACCCAAACAAAGTCCAGGGGTGGATTAAAACGTGAACAAAGAGTTTGTTTAATAAAGAGACGGAAATTATTTTGTAAAGTTTTATCAAATTGCACAAAAAATGGGAAAACAAAAAAGACAAATTATAAAATATACAGGGTGATTCGGGAGGAAATGGAAAAATTTTAACGATATGTCCAGGAAGCAAAAATAAGCAAAATAAGCCGATATCTTCAAATCCGATTTTCATTTGTTTCAGAGATAATCAGGTTTTTCTTTTTAAAAAGTTAATCAAGTTAAATTTGACGTTTTCCTAAATGACAATTTGAAACAAAATATTAAAAAGTGACAGTTGCAGGTAGTTGTTTCATGAGATAATAAAAATGCCTCACATTTTCAGTCATAAAGAATGTACAGATATGGTGTTTATTTATCGTTTCTAATAGGCAAGTGTTTCAAACTGTTTTTACACGTGCTACCGAAACTAGAATGTTCCCAATTATTTCCGAAAACAGCAAGGACTCGTTTTGGAACTTGAAGAAGATATTCTGGATATTGTAGAAAATAATCCAGGGATAAGTACGAGGAGCATGGCAATCGAATTTGAAATTCCACAAACAATGGTTTGGAAAACTTTAAAACGGCAAGGTTTAAACGCTTTTCCTCTACAAAAAGGACAAAATCTCCCAGAAGGCGATTATCCATTAGGACTACAACTTTGTCAATGAATTCGTGAAAACAAAATGCATTTTATTTACTATTGAAGCTCAATTTACTCGAGATGGAATTAACAATTGCCATAATAATCATCGATGGTCGGACGAAAACCCCCATGCCGCATTGATGTATGGTGCGGCATTTTAAATGATCAATTGTTTGGTTCTTTTGTATTTAATTATTGCTACTTGATCTATCAAAAGCGTTTGATAGTGTAAACCATGCCTTACTCCTAGATAAGCTGTATTACTACGGTATTCGGGGTGTTGCACATGACATTCTGAAGTCATACTTGAATGCTAGAATGCAAATCGTGGTGGTAAATGGAGGAAGATCTAGTGCTACAGAGGTCTCAGTGGGTGTTCCTCAGGGTTCGGTATTGGGTCCTTTGCTATTTATCATATACATAAATGACATGCCAAGCATTATACCACATGGAGACCTTTGCCTCTATGCAGACGACACAACTATCGTTTCAATGGGCGAATCAATAAAAGATGTTCAAAATAATTTCAGCAAATATATGCACGCTGCAAAATAATGGTTTAATGATAATGGTTTAACGGTAAACGAAGAAAAGACACAATGCATTTTTTTTTAATTTTTAGGTCTGTATCTAGACGAGGAATTCAAATAGTACACCCATATAGATAATACTGCCAAGAAGCTAAATGGCGCAATTTACTGTGTACGGAGAATGAGAGCTCATCAGTACCATAAAAGCAGCTAAACTCACATATTATGCCACTTTCCACAGCGTAGCAACGTATGGCATTCTGTTCTGGGGCATGTCTTCAGCAGCAGAGCGTTTTTTTCTATTACAAAAGAGGGCAATTCGCGCACTTCTCAATTTAAAGAGTAGAGATAGTTGTAGAGAACATTTTGCAATACACAAAATTCTCACCATAGCGTCTGTGTACATATTCAGTTGTATTAAAGCAACGAAGAAGAAATGGATCAACCTCACGAAGAATTCAGATATCCACAATTATCCGACAAGACGGGGGGACGAATTGCGAGTTCCACGCCACCGTCTAGTAAAGACTCAAAATAACTTCGAATATTGGGGCACAAAATTCTACAATCACTTACCACAGTCAGTTAGACAGTTGCCTTCTAGAAGAATGAACTCGTTCGTTAAGAATTACCTAGCGCAAAACCCAATATACAGGATAAATGAATTTCTCGAAAGATGTATAGAATGAATTATTCTGTTTTCTTTTCTTTTTTCTTGTTTTTGTTTTGTATGTCAATACCACATTCAAATTAGGTGATGTTATGACATGTTGTTATGTCTTATGTATTTGCATCGAATAAAGATTATTGTTATTATTATTGGATGGTTGTCTTACTGGGGTAAGGAGGTTATTTACATTTTTTTGAAGACCATTTAGAGGAAATATTGGACGAAGTACCTTTGAATATTCGACGACGTATTATCTTTCAACATGATGGAGCACCTCCTCATTATTCAAATAATGTAAGAAATTTTCTAAATACCTATTTCGGCGATCCCTGGATTGACAGAGGAGGCCCGCACTCTTGGGCACCGAGATCACCGGATCTCACTCCCCTAGACTTTTTTGTCTTTGGAGATGAATGAAGTTGTTAGTTACGTTCATTGGAGCAAGTCACCGTTCACTGAAATTGGCTACCAGTTCATTTATAAATGCACAAATAAGCGTATCGAAGTAGGCGATGGAGTTTTCGAAAATTTACCATGAATTAATGCTACTTGTTTATTTTTTTGTTTTGTTTTGTTAGTTTAATAATATATTTTTCTTCACTATTTAATCCTTGTACGACCAAAACTGGGTCAATAGTGACCCGAAAACAATAATTTTTACATAGCATACGAAATCAAAGTTTGATGTTGTTGTCCTTTCATATATTCGGGTCATAAATGAGCCGATTGTGGTAGTCAGACATCTTTGCAATCAGAATAATGCATTCAACCGTCATATTTATCCCGCAACAATGAGCAGAAATAGATTTATAGACATTTTACATTTCATACGACTCGACAACCTAGACACCAGACCTGAGAGAAAAATAATTGATAAGCTTGCACCTCTACGAAACGTTACTGACATTTTTTTCGAAAAATTGTTGAGAAGCTTATGAATGTTCTGAGTAAGGAACAATTGACAAGCAACTAGTTTCCTTCAGGGGAACTATCTGTTCATTTGAGTATATATTCCAAGCAAGTCAGGAAAATATGGAATTAAAGTATGAATGTTGTGCGACGGCAAATTATTGTGTTGTGCAAATTTCGAGATTTATTTAGGAAAAGTTGGGAATAAACCTGAAACAACGAGTAGTAAAATCGTTATTAAAATTTTAGAATGATAGTGGACGAAACATTACTACAGACAATTTTTTTACCGATATATCTGATCGAATATAGCTGAAGAATTTCTCGCAAAAAATTAACATTACTTGGGAGTGTTTGTAAAAATAGACAAGATTTACCAAAAATATTACTTGATATAAAAAAAATCGATGTGTTTGTAATTTCTAACGAAAAAAGACCTAATTGGGCTGGATTTGTTTCTGCCAAAAGTCTAAATATTGAAAAAAGTGGAAAGGGAATATTCAATATTATAGTATAAATATTGCAAATAGGGTTTGCAATACCGGACCAAAATCTCAATACCGGTATTCAAAATTTTTAAAACCGGGTTCCCGCTTCACCTCTACTAATAACAGGTTAATTCCTACTATATTTTTAGATTGGCAACAAAGCATAAAATACAGAATCTGAGAAGATAATCAAAAAATGGAAAGATATTAGGAATCTGTACAAAGTACCAACAAACTTAAAGGTCTGGTAATACCATTACCAGACCTTTAAGGTAATACCATTATTGTTTTGTTGTCTTTCACTTGGTCCAAAGTTTAAACTTCACTACCGCGTTAAAAAATGAAATTACACTTCATCATCTGAAGCTCTGTGGAATTCTTTCGAGTTGCTGCTTTGGAATTTTCTGGAAAGGTGCAGATTCAAGAAAGAAACTTTAAGATAATGGCCCTTGGTAGTTTGTCAGACTTATCATACTACTGTTATACTTGGTGGGACACTACACGAATCAAACTGACCTGAACCACCATTATGGAGTAAAAACTCCAAAAATAGTTGTATGCAGAGAGTATTTTATTGTTGGCTACGTATGACAAATTTATTGAACACGAACATTAAGTTGTCGTCATCAAAGGTTGAGTCTTCGTTATCTTCAATATTCTATGCAAAATGATATTTCTTGTAGATGGTATTTACACTGATCAAAAAATGTCACTTGAAAAAATGAGGTTAGTACGGACATAAGATAGATAACAAATTTCTGTTTGGTCAACATCATTTTCCAGCACAGCTTTAAAACTGTACTGAGTTAGGCTATCTTTTAACTTCTCTTTTAACTGCTGCATCAATAATAGTTCCAGCGAAGGACAAATTCGAGCAAGTTCTCTTAACTCTTCGAGGGCACCTTACATTATTAGAACACATAGTGTTTAAACCTCATTTTTGACGAGAACACGACAATCCACATTGCCATCGAGTTATAGAATCTGCTGGGATCTGGAGCACTCCATGGTGCCCTCGGAGGGTTAAAAATATTTTGTAATTTTGTAAAGTAAAATATAAAAAAAGTATATAATATAAAAAGTGCGGAAGCCAGATGTAAATGTTTTGTTTGTATCAACTTGTTTATTGCATTAATTAAATTTAATCTTTTATGCCAAATAACTAATAAACACAAAAAGTTTAATTGGTTACTATAAAGTAATTTATCCTAGAACATCGGATTATACCTAGCCAGGGTATTGTCCCACGTAATAATCGATATGATTAGAGAGAAAAGGAAATTAAAGAAAACTTTGCAAATCACCTAAAATGGCAGGGATAAAATTAAATTAAATAGGGCTTCACGTCAACTGAAAGTAACATTTCACAGAAACCTATCCCCTACTTCTTCTTCTTAGCCTGCAGTCTCCATACGAAGGTTACCAGCACAGATCTTTGATTCCCTAGTTTTATCGTCTTCTCACTAAGCTTTTTCTTTCGACTTTTCCTTCAAGGAGCGGTCGAAGAATTTAGTACCGTTCCCCCCTCATGATATATCCAATGTACTGAAACGTTATCAGAAGCTCGTTGTCTTTGCCCATCTGTTTGAGTATTGAGCTGATGACAAAAATTAAAAAAGTAAAGAAAAGTAAATGTCTTTACTGAATATTTATGAAATGAATTAATCCAAATGCTAGAATAGCAGTTTAGTGCGAGTTCATTTTGGAAGCAATAGTATCCCTATCAAACAGTCTTTCCAATCAAAAGAGTGAGTATTTTCGAAATCATGGACATTATTGATGGACTGAGATCAAAAAGATCGGAAACGATCTGAATCACAATTCTAAAGCATATATCAGATGAAGGCATTACGTTAATCGTTTATATCTTCAATAATTATGATCCCCAAGGAGAATAAAAAAGCGACTAATGTGACGTCATATCGACGCAGGATACTCTATCCAGGAAGAAGTTAATACCAGATTACTAGTCCGGCTTTAAAGCTCAATATGGCACTGTGGTACAGATCCATAGGGTCTTAAGAACTATAACAGATGCCATGGAGAATAAAAACTTGCACTGCTGAATCAAACGTCATATCATATGACAACTAACCTCTGGTTAGTTTAATAGAAAGACTTGAGACGTTAAAAATTTAATTTTCGTTCGTATATCCTATTCTTTCTTGCCTTTAATTCTATTATTTCAAAAACTTTTAATTCTTTAAACACCACATAAAACTAATTTGGAACTCAAAGATTGTTCACCTTGCAATCATTCTTAACTTCTTTCAATTTGGCTTCATATCTTTCTATCAGCTATGTAAGATGGATATTAGATCTCCAATAAAGCTCATATAGATACTTATTACTAGATACCAATTTCTGACAGGGTGAGTGTTGCAGAAAAACAAATTGTTACTTCGTTTTATAGCAATTATTTTGAAGTAATTTTTTAGTGTGCTCTTTGCATCGCCGACATGGTTTGTTGTATTGGTTTTAGGTTTCAAAATATCCCAAATACCTAAGGCCAATTCAATTACACCATCATGGGGCGTGTCTTTTGGGATGTTTTTGGCCAATGGAATTGGTGGAAGGGATATCTTTGGACATGGGACCGGAAACCACAATTCGGTTACCCATTTTCTAAAAGTTATGACGTAATTTCCAAACTATGAGACCCCTCAAATTTATTGCGGTTGAACATTTAATTTATTCTTGAATTGGTATTCTGCAATCTACATTTTACAAAAACTTATGGATACAAAATCCACAAAATTTAAAACGAAATAGTAATTTGTGCTTAATGGCAGACAGACATCATATAACCAGACCTCAACATCATTGAAAAAAAACTTTCTCCAAAACAATTTCTTTAGTAACGGGAAAAAATGAATTTTAAACGATGTCATAAATTTGATGTCATTGTGAATTTTAATAAATGGCTTTGGGAAACGGAATGTTTCAGTTTTTTAGTCCCTGCATGTTGATGAAAATGTTTAAAACCCGTGTTGGTGAAGAAGGTTACAAGACATTCCCGAAATCAAATATTTTTATTCTTCCAGTAATCGAGAAGAGAAGTTATTTGATCAAATTGGTTAAATGGACTTCTTCAAATGCCAATGTACGTTAAGAAATAGTAAGGTTTTTTCATGTTGTGAATAAAAATTCGTTTTTAACCTTCTTCATAGAGGTTTTATTAGAAACGGTTGAATACAAGCACAATAATTAAACGTGATTAACTTAAAATTATAAAAATGCAATTTCAGCAATACACTTAATTAATTGTAAATGTAAAAGTTATAATTATGAATTAATATGATTCATGTGAAAATTTAGAATGTGTGAATGAAATTACTGATTAATAATTATCTCAGAACAAAATTAATAAATTGCGAACGAAATTAGTCATTAAACTGTTAATGTTTGAGTAAAAAAATCATACTTATTATTAGATAAAGTAAAAAAGTTATTTGGAACAAAATAATAATCGAAATTACCAAGTTTATTTAGTATTGAAAAAAGCACATGATGGTGTTTCACTATCAAGTGTAAGATTGGAAAAATTCAAATTTGTCCTAGAACAGTACAAACAGTACATTAATATAAAACATTTAATAACATTTTAATCTGAACTTACCCAAACATCATCTCGTTATCTCCAGGAAAATATTCATCTTTAACAGTGGATAAATTCATGGGATCAGGTACTGATGAGGAATTTTTAAAATTCATAAATTTTGAAGCATTGTTTAAGCCAAAGTCTTCACAAGCTGTTCCATTCAAATCCAGTTGAATAGGGAATCTAATCAGATATCATAAGTTTTTTTGATTATAAAATAGTCTTAATCCTAAAATATTATAAACTTACAAATTGCGAGATAAATTCTTGCGTTTCAAAATTGAAGCGGTACTTTTATTTACTAAGACCGGTTGATCAGATAAGTCGAAATTCACAGATTGACGTGAGTTTTCTTTTGGTTGCAAAGAATCATATCTGTAAATATTAAAGAATATTTTTTAAATTATAAAGCTTTTGCTGATGGCATAGTTTAATTGTCAATTTATTGTTTCATTGTTCATATAAAAGAATTGATAAGTTAAATTAAAAAAGTGATATATAAATTATCTAAAAACTTACAATTGCCAAGATTGACGAGTATCAAATGAAATCGCAGATGATGGTGGTTTCTTCAAACTAACAAATGACATTGAATGAAAAAAGCAAATGGATTAATTCTTGGAAACTTACAGTTGATGTAATGGCGTGAATTCTTTGGAAGATTGTGGAGTTACATTATTCATAAATTGTCCAAAATTTTCCTTCGACATTGAAGAAGATCCGCTATAAATAGAATTTAAAATAGTTTTAGATTAATACAAATCGCGTAAATAAATAACAACGTAGCCCTGCAAAAAGTAATTTCATAAAAACTTTTTAAATTATTTAGGGTGATCTAACAGTTTTGAAAGGTGCTGAATCCGAAAAACACAACAGTTTTTCCTCATCACCCACCGTTTTTCCGCATCCCAACACAATAATCTGAAACTAACTGGTACGAATAGGACAGTTTTGGAGAAAGTATTTTAAAAAATTTGTTATAGGTTTTATTTATCCAAATTAAGTACATTAACAACAAAAGACAATATCAATGAATTTTCAATTAATTTAATCCACTTTGGTGGCCCTGTACTTTTTTTCCCACGTGTCGGAAAAGCTCCGATTGTTACTTTTCCTCTTAAGAGTGACACCTGAATTCCCTTGATGAAATGACCAGCAGTAGTCATCCATCATACTGACGTTCCATCTACCATGATATCTCCTTCTCCTCTCCACGACCTTAATATCCTGAGGGAAACGATCACCCTGCTCTTCACTGGTACTACCCAAATTTTCTGGGAAAAAATCCAAATGAGAATGTAGAAAATAAACTTTTATGCTCATAAGGCAGCTAAGTTTTTCCATTTTTTGAGAAGATCATCGACAATGCTAATGTAGCTAGGGCCTTTAAAGTCTAGTGATCACCTTTTTGAAACCATTCTAAGCTTCTCTTTCAACACCTGACATTGTGCACTGAAATTTCTCATCAAATATTAGATATGTCAGAACCCACAAAAATTCCTTTTTTTAGTTTTGCCTCTGCTAAATGTAGAAACTGTGTGCGAAGGTATTGAAAGCAATCACCAGTCTTGGGTAAAGCTTTGACGAATTGTTTCATGAGCCCCAACTTGACGTGAAGAGGGGGAAGACAAATTTTTCTGGAATCTATTAAAGCTTGGTGGAAAACGTTCTTTTCACCTAGCCTCAATGTTTATCGGGTTGGCCATACTTTTTTAATCAGTGTTCATTCCTTGCTCTGCTATCCCATTCATAAATGGGTACTTAGAGTTTCCTCCCTGAAGACTAAGCATCATGCCCAAAAGTTTCAGATCGCCACAAACTATCGGTATATTTAATTTTATTTATCACTTTTTTCAAATTCTCGTAATTTTCTTTGAGGTGTACAAAATGCCCTAGAGCAGCGTTCCGTAAACTTTTTTAAGTAGCGACCCAAAAATATCAAAAAATCTTAATGTGACCCATAAAAAGTTAAATCTATTATTAAATATAATAAAATAGACATTTATGTGACCCATTTTTCGACCCAATGATTATGATTCGCTGCCCTAGAGGAAGACAAGCATATATTGTGTTAGCATTGTGCAGGAGTACAGCCTTCAGGCTTCTTTCTGAAGAATCAATGAAAAGCCTCCATTCATCAGCTTTGTATTCATTTCCAAACTTTTGACCCAAACCAGGAACATCACAACAGTAGACCAACTCGCCTTCTTGTTTGAAATAGTCACTAAATTCACGCTCTCTAAATCTGTACTGATGAAAGTACATTCTTCTTTTAATCTAGAACCCAAGAGTTTAGCATTCTCCTTAGTAAGTCCCAAGTCTCTCACCAAATCATCAACATCAGACTCAGTGAAAAGTTGTGGGGTGGCATAATCTGAAGGATCTTGGAGATCACAGTCATCTTCATTCACATCACATTTACTAAAACTCATTTCACGTAGCGTTGGTGGAGGCTGAGGTACAGACACATCCGGTCCATAAACTACAGGTCGCATTGCAAAAGGAAAGTTGGAATACACTATATCTCTTTTATTCTCAGAGTTATAGCCATTAAAATCATAGCAGCAAAAATAGCACCCATCACTGTAATTTTTTGATTCCCTCCACACCATTGGAATGCCAAATTTGAATGATTTTTTTTACCTGGTGACCACTTCCGTAAGTCGGATTCATGAAAGGATGAGGGTGCGGGTGCAGTGGACAAGCACCCTGACTCTTTCATAAATAATTATATTTATCAATGAATCAGCATCACGCGTTTTCCTTTTATTATAATCAAAGGAAATAGGAAAACGCGTGATGCTGATTTTCGACTAGAAATTTGGAAAAAAAATTAAAGGTGATGGAAATTTTTCATTATTTTTCCCAGATTCATCACCCAAAAGTCAATAAAGATCGCCTTTCAGTTTTAAAGAAGCTTTTTAGTCGCAGACTGTGCAATTAAATGATGTAAACTTACGATTGTGTAGAATTTGAAGGTGATGATGCTTCTCTTTCAAATAATTGTTGAGGCGAAGATGAGCAGGCTAATTTATCAGAGCCATGATATGACAAACTATTATAAAGTATTGAGTAAAAATTAAAATTCATCTTATTAAATAACAATTAATTTATGTAAACTTACGATTTTGTAGAATTTGAAGATGATGCTCGTCTTTCAAAAAACTGACGATGCGGAGTTGACCAGTCTAATTTATCGAACTTATTATATGGCAAACTATTATAAAACATTGAGTAAAAGTTAAAATTAATCTTATTAAATAACAATATTAATTTATGTAAACTTACGATTTTGTAGAATTTGAAGGTGATGCTTGTTTTTCAAAAAACTGTTGATGGGAAGATGACCCAGTTAATTCATCAGACCAATTATTTAACAAACTATTATAAAACATTGAAAAAAAAATAAAATTTATCTTATTAAATAATAATTAATTTATGTAAACTTACGATTTTGTAGAATTTGAAGGTAATGCTTGTTTTTCAAAAAACTGTTGATGCGAAGATGACCAGGTTAATTCATCAGGCCAATTATTTGACAAACTATTATAAAACATTGAGACAAAATTAAAATTCTTCTTATTAAATAATAATTAATTTATGTAACTTTATGTAACTTACGATTTTGTTGAATTTGAAGGTGATGCTTGTTTTTCAAAAAACTGTTGATGCAAAGATGGCCAGGTTAATTCATCAGACCAATTATTTGACAAACTATTATAAAACATTGAGACAAAATTAAAATTCTTCTTATTAAATAATAATTAATTTATGTAAACTTACGATTTTGTAGAATTTGAAGGCGATGCTTGTTTTTCAAAAAACTGTTGATGCGAAGATGGCCAGGTTAATTCATCAGACCAATTATTTGACAAACTATTATAAAACATTGAGACAAAATTAAAATTCTTCTTATTAAATAATAATTAATTTATGTAAACTTACGATTTTGTTGAATTTGAAGGTGATGCTTGTTTTTCAAAAAAGTGATGATGCGGAGTTGACCAGTCTAATTTATCGAAGTCATTATATGACAAACTATTATAAAACATTGAGTAAAAGTTAAAATTCATCTTATTAAATAACAATTATTTTATGTAAACTTACGATTGTGCAGAAGTTGAAGGTGATGCTTGTGTTTCAAGAAACTGATGATGCGGAGTTGACCAGTCTGATTTATCGTAGTTATTATATGTCAAACTATTATAAAACATTGAATAAAAATTAAAATACATATTAAAAAAAAAATACGTTATCAGCTTACAGATGTCGTTTCTTAGGAGCCATGTGTTGAGGCACCGCCCATAAAACTTCGACCAAAGTGTCCTTATAATACACTGAAAAAGTCAATTCAATATTTATTTTGATAATTTTTCAATCAATTTATGAATAAAAACCTTTGAATTCCATTACGTTATACTATTTACAAATAATAAAAATATTAACTTTGTAGACTTGATATTTCAATCAAATTATTAATAAAGTTCCAATTATTTTACCTTTCAATCTTTTCAATGCTTCTTCGGCATCTTTGTGCGTCATAAAATGGACAAAACCATAATCTTTAAATCGGAAAACCTTCAACACCACAATTCCTTCCAAAACATCATTCAAGATCTCTAAGAATGTTTCCCTAGGTTCGGTTACTTTCAGATTACGAAAGAAAAGTTTCTTTATCTAATACAAAAAAATGGAAATTATTTATATTACAACTAGTTTAATTACTATAACTAAATATGTAAATACGACTGCTCAATCTAATTAATTTATAAACCAAAATATCAAAATAACAACAAAACAATTTTTAATACATAAATTACATTGTACATTTATTTCATCTTGACATTATAGAGTGAAACCAATCACTATAAATACTGCGCTTTACAAGTGGTTATCATTTCGTCTTTTTCATATGGCGCTCCAGCCCAAACTAAGTACTTTTTGCCACCACACAGCTATCTCCTTCCTATCTCCTACAGCCATTCTCCTATCGTTTCTGGGTTTTCCCACTGATCTTTTGCCATACATTGGGCTATCCAATAGCCACTTTGGTAGCTCCATTCTCGCCACATGTGCCGCCCACTATAACCGTCATAGTCTGATAAACTGTGAGAGTGGGGGTTCTTTAAAATGGTTGTACAGATCGTAACTAAATGTGGGTTTACAGACATTATTTGTTAACTTATCCCATCATCTTTCTCAAAACTCTTCTTTCAAACATTTTAAGAATGTTTTATTTATTAACATAATCTGCATATACAATCAGCTATAAGGTCTTGCTGGTTAGCAGGTTTTCCTTTTCCAAAGTCAATCTGTCTTAAGTCTTAATATGTATTCCAGGGTCAGATTGAGTAGGATGGGGAAGAAGAAATTGCAAGCGTTGATTAATGATGTATGCAAGAAATTTTTACGCTGTTAGAAGAGATATTCCGCGATAATTATTCCTTTTTAGTTTATCTCCTATTTATGGATAGGGCATATAATGCTATTTTTTGTTATCAGTAAATGGATAGATTTTGATAGGTATTCATTCCTGGTGCCTTGTTATTCTGTTGGGTCTTCATTGCTTGTTCGACTTCTTCTAGTGTTAGATGGTTTGTCCTTTCTTCCCCCCTCAGGGATCAGATTTACATTTTATCTGATTACAGCTTTCTCTTGCATTGTAAGTAGTGTTTGGAAAAATTGTATCCAGATGCCTTTTATTTTTTGAGGATCACTTTCTATTTCTCTCCTTTCATCTTTACAGATGTCTGTTCTGGATTTGTATCTCTGTCAAGCGTTTCAGATATATGTACCTCATCAAATTCCCAAATAACGGACGAAAACCCGATGCAACTCTAAATCTAACTCTGTATCCTGTGTTGCATTAAGCCTAATCTTCCCTGCATAAAAATCCTTATCTTTAGATATTTCAAATGAAAGCGTAATCTGCTTATAGATTAGGTACCTATATAGTTAGGTTCTTTATAAACAATTTATGTGTAAAGTATTTTTCTGTCTTTTTCTTTTAATATTTGAGTTATGTTTTACATTAGTAACGAGATTAGTTTAAAAAATTGATATCGCAAAATCAAAAATACTATATTTTTTATTGAAAAGCTTATTATTTTAAAATCAGATTAGAGAGAATTCTAAATAAATGTTTCAAAATCAGATTTTTTAATTGCACAGGTACAATTTCCTAATATGAGGAAAACTACAACCAATAATAAAATATGGGGCCTTAAAATTTTCGACTTTCTTGTCATTGAATTGACGGTTATTCAATTTTTGACCATTCTGTATAAGATACTCTGATACAGCAAATACCAATCTATTTGATAGCATTTGAAGAGTAATCATGTCAGCTTAGAGCTTTTTTAAATGAACGATGGCCAAAAATTTGCAAAAAAAACTTTTATCAAAATTAACATATTTTTTTGGATATAATTAAAAGGTGTAAAAACTATAGCATCCCATTTAAAATAACGAAGTTGTGATCTACGTTCTGTAGACCGAAAGTAGCGGCCATCTTGAAAGTATTTTAAATGGAAAGCAAAAATGTTTGGTCCTAAAAAGTTCTAACAAACAAGTTACGTGAGACACCTGTATATTGAAGACCCAAAAATCTGAATTTTTTAGATTAGATATAAAATTGATTCCTGAAATTTTAAATGAGACAACAAAAAATGAACGTCATTATTAGAGTTGTTTGGGAATACAAAATCGGTACTTGAAATTTCATTCTTCTAATTTAACAGTAGCCTAAAAATAAAATTTTGCAATCAACACAAATGTGTCACAATATGAATTGAATTCGAATTAAAGTAATTGAATTTAGCAATTAGGTTTAAAAAATCATACCAGTGGATGTTTGAATTTTGTCAATTAGTGCACTTGAAGTACGCGATAACGTTGAGTGTAGGCCATTCTAGTTAATTATTATAATCAATTAAAAAAAAATTAGTATTTAAATGGATATTTAAATTTAAACGCAAAAAACGATCATCTTAAAACAAATTAAATGAGAGTACCGGTTAAAGTCAAATTATTCTATATCATTATTGTAAGAATCCATGTTGCAAGTTTGATGACAATTTTTAAAAATTATTTATCTACTAAATAAATTTAAAATAACTTACTTTAATGAATGTGGCACTATCAATATAAGGTAAGGGCGTTGACCAATCAACGGTGAGCTTAGAACCCCATAAGTCAAAATTTGCGAACAGAACCCTTGCTTTAGCTGCTTTTTTATGTGATTCGAAGTCCACAAAGACATATCCACGATTGTTCGCTCTATCTGTATAGGATCGGTACATTATTATATCGGTTACACCATCAAAACCACAATCAATCAACTCATCCCAGATTTCATCCTTAGTTTTATGTTCCGGTATTCCACCGACAAAGAGTCGACGATTATCGTAGTAAATTTCGATGGTTAATATTTCAATCCCATATTTATTTAATATTTGAATGTTGTCGACCGCATTTTTCGCTTCTTCCGGACACGTGTAAGTAACGAAGGCGACTCCTTTATTTAAAGTTGACAAATCACCTTGCATCATCAACCGAATCTTGAAAATTTTTCCTGCTTTTGTGAATAACGGAAATAATTCTCTTTCGGTGAAATGATACGGAATTCCCTTGACTAAAATTTCCGATCCATATGGTGGAATTTCTTTGCAATTACCAATAGGGCCAATTAGGCGTTGGTTACCCTTGTATGACACAGGATAACCTTGTAAGAAATAACTAAATGCTGGAGCCATCGTTAAAAATTGGTAGATGTGGACGCCAAGAATTCTTAAAAACTACTGATATCTTCTTGTGCAATAGAGCGCTTTTATATCTACGAGCGGTAAAGGGCTCATGCCACCGATGTGGCGCCAATTTTTTATACAAGTAAGCGAATAACAGCTGAGTTGCAAGATTTTGGGGGATGCGATTCGATTGGCTAAAAACGTTATTCTTTACACAGGTGTTTGAGAAAATCGGTCCAACATAATATTTGAGGAGTTTCAAACGGACAATTCCGTTAAAAACATATTCGTTAATAAATAATTTCTGAAATGTTAGAAATTGTACGTTGTAAACCTTAGAAAGGTTATTAGAAATAATTATTATTATTTTCAAGAAACCGTGAAAACTGTTTACAAAACGAATCAGCTACATTTTTTAGTATGTTATTTTCTTGGTAGTTCTTTTAATTTAGCAATAAAAGCAATGTGCATATAAATTAGAATACTTTTAACTTGCACGAAATTTAAAGCTTCTATTCAATATCTACTACATAAATTCAGCGCTTCTAATACTCATACACAATTTTTAGAAAAGGTCAAATTAAGTTATTAATTACACTATTAATGAATATCATTATCCAACTGAAGAATTAGTGAGAAAAGTGAAGTCAGAAAAGTGACAATATCAAATCAAAATAATAACGTTTGATGATCATGCTAATATGCTTTTACAAATTTTAATGCAATATTTTAGTAATTGTGTTGGTAACAATTCCTTTCTTATTTTGTTTGGCGGTGCTTATAAAGGGATAAAAATAAATTTATTTCTTTTCGAGCAATCTCTCTCAAAGTGGGACAAATCGAAAACGGAGCACACTTAAAGTATTTATCAAATTGTTTCCTTTCTGGAAGTTTGGAAAATCAGCAAGAATCAAGAGAATAGAACGTTAATTTGCATAGCAACACGTAGTGGATCCAGTTCGCCAAAGGTTTTTTGAATGTCCAAGTATATAAACCTGTACTGGAAATTTGACCAAGTTAATCAAACTTATTGTATTTGTGTAAAATTACACTACATTACCATTCAAATGACGTTGGTGAACATATAACCAATAGAAAAACGTGTGGGACGAATCAATGATGTGTGTTGTGTATTACAAACTATTGAGCAAAAATGAAGACACAATAAAGTACTATTTTGTACATGATGGTCATAAAGTAGCTTATTATCAAGAATTATCAATGCACCAAACACGGATTAAGAATTCAGTAGCGATACGAAACGATCACTAATCGTAATATATAGTACTTCTACTGCTAGAAAAGAAAATAACAGTATTTAGAGAGATTAAAAGTTAAAAAAATTTTGTAAAAAAACAGAAATGTGAGGTGTATCACTTTGAGCAGTTCAATATTAAGGTTCAAATGTAGCAGCCATGTTCATTTGATAATATTGATTAAAAGATGATAAAATATAACAAATGTATTCAAGCAAGTTATTCTCTATTGAAAGATCAGTAAAAAAGGGGCTAATTTTAGATATTAAACTAAAAAACAAATTTTTATAAATCTAAATCCTTACTAAATAAAGGTAAAGTTGATACTGGGTTTTAGTTGGCAATTAAGTTCGATTAGGATTCGGATTTAGTATGTCCTCGATCTCAAACCTCTCAACATTAGAAAACGGATAGTTTGCACACAGCTTTGATTGGGATTCAAGACTAACAACACCAAAACCAAGAGAATTAATCAGAGCAATGGAATCAAACAACGAGCAGATATACAGTATTGGCTTGCTTTGAGTAGTCTTCAGACCACTTCATGGTAATAAGCAACTTTTATTCACAAGATCTTAAATAAAGATCAACAACCAGCCTTACATATCAAAAATCCAATTGGAAAGCATTCAGCAAAAATGGATAACGTAATGTTGCTAGGTCAACCATTAAGATTACAACTGTACATAGAAACAAAGATAGTTAATCTGACGAAGTATATACAAGAGAAAGGCAAAGCATTCAAAAATATCTATGAAATTTTACCAACAGACGTTACTGATTACCCACTTTGGAAAGCCACCAGAAGACTAAAAAGACCGCAATGACACATAGCACCAATAATTAAAGATGAGAGTAACTTCTCAGAGAGAAATGACAAAGAAGAAACCGAGGCTTTCTCAAAACACATAACCACCATAACTAGCTCCATTAATTTCCGATGAGACTGCCGCACTGCAGGTTCATAGCTAATGAAATAAAACAGGTGAACATAACGAACATAATAAATTTCATATTTCATGCGATTCTGAAAACAAACTACTTTCCTCGCACCTGAAAGGTTGTTCATATCATTATGATTCGTAAACCAGGAGAAAAACCAGAAGAAATCATCTTGTATAGACGCATAACCTTACTACGTATACTCTCCAATATCTAGGAAAAGCTGTAAGTCAACAGGCTCATTAAGATAATAAAAGATAGGAAAATAATCCTAAATCATCAGTTTAGCTTTTGCAACTAATGCGGAACAATAGAGTAAGTTCACGAATTAATCAACCGAATTAATAAAGATCTAAATGTTAAAAGACATTGTTCTGCTGCTTTTCATGACATATCTCAAGTCTTTGATAAACTGTGGCTTACAAGTCAAGCTAAAAAGGCTCCTTCCCCATCAATATCTTGTGAAATAAGGTTACGAATATTCCAATTTATACCCCGTGGTATAAGAAGTGCTTCAAGAATGCGTTCTCAATCCAGTAGTGCATTTATTGTATTAATCAGATTTGCCAACAACAAAAAGCTCCACCATTGCAACATATGCTGATGACACCGCAGTATTGGCTTCTCTCACTGACTCACTATCTGCCTCTAGAAATCTGCAACATAATTAAAACATATTTCAGGGGTGGATGAAGACGTTGTTGTGCCTTTACTATGCGTAGAGAGACTTGTCCTCCTGTGACCATCAACAAACGTCAAGTACCTACAAGCAGAACATGCCAAATAGGTATCACCTCAATAGACGTTGCACATGGAAAATGATATTTTCTTCAATCGCAACCAGTTAAGTAAAATGTACTGGTAGTAGTGCTACCAAGTTACCTAGAAAAAAAAACATGTGCTACAGAAAGCCATCTTGATACCAGTGTATTCAGCTGTGGGGTACGGAGTTCATTCAATGTACATCCCACTACAGAGGGGAAAATATGTGAACCAATAGTTCATTTTACGGTACAGTAAACGAATGTATGTGCACCGTAATGCTCTCTCGTCAAGCACCTAATATGCGTGTTAAATAAGAACGAAAGCTGAAACTTTTACTGCCGTGTGATATAATTCTAGGAGAAAGATAAATTCAGACACTAAATTTGTATAAGATCCATAATAGTTAATTTAAAAGAGATCACTAGAGCGAGATTTTACATGGAATGTAAGGTTCCGTTATCATAACAAATGTTTGTTGCTCGCTTTACAGAATCCCCTCAATAAAGAAATGTTTACAGAGCATTATTTGCATTTTTAATAGAAAATGTAATTTCTTGATAATCTTAGCAAATAATGAATAGTCGACGTCGCCCTATATTCAACTATCTACGTGACCTGCAATAGGCTAACGTTTTGGATTTATTATCCTTTCATTCACGACTCCATTTCCTGCCAACTTCCTTTTTAAATGCGCCAATGCTAAAAATTTGTTAGGCTTAAAGTAACTTTGGCAAGGCACAACATCAGCTTTCTCAACGTTCCTCCCATAAAGAACCCGAATCTCATATTGCTTAATATAGGGCGACCGATGTCCAGAAGGAGAGCAATATCCATCATACCTACACAACACCATAATCGATTTAGCATCAATTTATATTTGGAGACGTTAGAATTGGTATGAGAAGAATCAGGGCAACAAAATCAAGTATTTCGTTTTATATAAATGTTCGCTTAGAGTTGATACTTGCCAACATAATAAATTATCAACATCTCAGAAATGTTAAGATCGTGCACGCAAGAGAAACAGTACAATAAAGTTTTAGAACAATATATTAAAAAATACAAAAAACGATTTCATACATGGTATAAAAACATGATATATATTTATTTTGAATTATAATAATAATATACACAACAAATTCAAATTTAATTCAAAATTATTTAATAAAAAAAACTATACCTGAAAGTGCTATATAAAAATATTAATGCAATAACAAGAGATATAAAATTTAAATAATAAACAGACTGGAAATGTTTAATTAAAATTACATAGATATGCGGCTGAAAGACTTGCTAAATATAAAATATGATCGCTAAATAAAGATTTTGTTCTTTCTACATAGATATAATACTAATTAGCTGTAATTGCAAAACTAATGATGTTTGTTATAAACAACGGCATAAGAATCATCACTTTGGATACCACTCTACAAAATAAGAAAAACATATTTTATAAAAATAATTAAAATGATAAAAATAGGAACTAAAAACTAAAGCTTTACCTCATTTGAAAATGTTGGCTCTTTAGAATCATTGGAAGCATTCAAATTGGTTGATAAAGCTAACGTTCTAGAAGAAACATTAATCAACATAAACAATATAAATCAATAAATCTGAGCTTACCTGAAAAGCTGATCGAAAGGAAGATATTCATCTTTAATAGCCGATAAATTAGGTTGCTCAGTACGAGAACAAAAACCGCTATCGATTAATGTTGAATTTTCAAAATTTGATGATGCGGCAACCGGGTTCAAATCAGGTCCTTCCTGTTCCATTCCATTTAGAACCGGTTGAGTGGGATATCTAATCAAAATATTAAATTAATAAGTGAGACCTAATGTGGGCAAACCCTGAGAAGCGTATAATTGCATTTTGACAAATTTTAATGAAAAGTCAAGGAAAGAATTCAACAAATATCTTTTGTTTTATGACAACAAATCAAATTATATACTTTGTGAGTTTCAAAATATAATATTTCATAAAACACATAATGGGTAAATTCAGTGCAGTTCATCTATCGAAATTAGAACAGAAAATAGTGAGTCA